GGGTTCTGCTTCTCCCTCTGACCCTCTTCCCTCTCATGCTCTCTGTCTCTCATTCTCTCTCACAAATAAATAAATAAAATCTTAAAAAAAAAAATTTTTTTTTGCTTTAGGCATTTGGGCTGTTAGGTCATATCTTTCCCCTTGTAGGCCTGCCTCTGTTCCTCAGTTCAACTTTCACAGTAGTGATACCATCTTTTGTCTTTATAGGTACTTTTCTGGAATGTAGCTTAAATGTATATTTTTGAATTTTTTTTAAAGCTCTGTACCCAACGTGGGGCTGAAACTCACAACCCTGAAATCAAGAGTTGCATGCTCTAGCCAGGCACCCATGTAGTTTAAGTATTTCAAATGTTTCTTAGGGTTTCTCTTTGAAGTGTACTCCACTTAATGTTTCAGAAATGTAAAGATTCTACACTGTGCCATTTAGCAAGTAAGAGTTGTTTCTTGTGTTTGCATGCAATTTTATTTTTCCACCACTTTTATGCAAAAGTTTAAAATGCACCATTAGTAGGAGCGCCTGGCTGGCTCAGTCAGTAGAGCATGAAGCTCTTGATCCTTGGGGTGGTGAGTTCAAGCCCTATGTTGAGCCTAGAGCTTACTTTAAAAAAAGTTTTAAAACGCACTATTATAAATAGAAGTAATATATAGTCATAGAAAACCTGTATGATACAGTAAATCTATGCAGTAAGAGAAAAATCATCCCCTTATCCCATAACCCCACAACCCACACATAAAACTATTAACATTTTGGTATACTTTCTTCTAGTTTTTTTCTTCTGTACATTAAAAAATTTATTTTTATTTTTATTTAAAGCTTTGGGTTTTATTTATTTATTTATTTATTTAATTTTATTTTTAAGTAAGCTCCATGTGGAGCCCAACACAAGGCTTGAACTCATTGACCCTGAGATCAAGACCTGATCAAGATCTGATCAAGAGTCAGACACTTTAACTGACTAAGCCACCTGCACACCCCTTCCTTCTGCACATTTTAAAAAAAGATTTTATTTATGTATTTGAGAGAGAAAGAGAGCGTAAGCAGGGGGAGCAGCAGAGGGAGAGGGAGAAGCAGACTCCCCACAGAGCAGGGAGCCCAACAGAGGGCTCCATCCCAGGACACTGGGATCATGACCTGAGCCGAAGGCAGACATTTAACTGACTGAGCCATCCAAGCTCCCCTCTTCTCCACATATTTATTTTCTCCTACTTGTTCAGTCATGATGAATTTACCTGCTTTTTTCATTTTTTCATTATTAATATAAAGATTTTTCATAGTCATTGAAATACTTGATCATTTTTTTCATAGCATGTCAATGTCCATTATATGTATATACCATAATTTATTTACCCATTCCTGTATTGTTGACTTGTAAACTATTTCCAATTTTTCTGTTATTATGTCACAGTACATTTTCTTCTAATGATTTCACTAAGGCAGAGTCCTAGAAATTACTTTGTCAAAGGGTAGGACTTTTGATCCTTGGCTACAAATTTCTTTCCAGAAAGTTACTATTTTATATTTTGAATAGTGCAAGGGTGCCTATGTGCTTATTTTTTCCTTTATAGATGACTTTTGAAATTAATAAAAATTATTATGCCAGCTTTTTTCTCTCTTCCTTTCAGACACGTAATAAACTCTTAGAAAACTGGGGATTCAGATGGTTGGTTCCTGGAATGGCTTCTTTTTTTTTTATTCAAGAAACTGTTCTCAAAAGGTTAAACCCTGCCCTAATGAGTCTCCAAACAAACACCAAGAGTGTTCTTTATAAGAGAGTTTAGTAATCTATCATGCAGGGATTATTAGCTCTATAGAGTCTGTCTTCAGTTTTGTGCAGTGTTTGTTGGCATTAAGTCGTGCTGAGTGCTTCACTTGTTAGAACTGCCCTATACTCTTTGTGGTTCCTGTATTTGGTGAGGATTTTAATGTAGTGACATTTGCTTTAAGTGAGAGTATGACATCATTTACGTTAAATGTATTGCCTTTTGAAATTATCAGTTGCTAGGGCTTCAAAATCTATATTTAAAAATATACAAATAGTATTTTATTTGTATTGTGGTTAAGAAGTTATAGGGATTTGGGGAGAGAAAATTAGTGAAAGATAAGTTAGGAAAAAGGGCAAAGAACAAATCTAATATTCTAAACACATTAAATGCATATAAATCTCTTTCGCCCCCCCCCGCCATCTCTCTCTCTCTCTCTCACACACACACACAATGTATACCTAATTAAATGAGTCCACAGTTTGTTTGTTTGCCTACATTCAGATTTGACTAATGCCCTTGGAGTTTTTTGAATGCTTATTGGTTAAAGCCCACCAGTACATAGTGGGTTTACTGACAGTCGTTGAAAGGAAAAATTATATGAAAAAAAATCTCTGAAAATAATATAAAGCAGATTACTCAGAATTCTGACGGTGCATTTTCAGAAGAAAATCTAATTTACTGGCAGTGACCTCTATAGTGAAGGGAGTAAATGTTTTGACAGGATTGTAATCTGAGAAACAAATATTTTTATTTGCAGGTTACATGTCTTGCATGTGACAACAAATCAAATACCATAGAACCTTTCTGGGATTTATCACTGGAATTTCCAGAAAGATACCAATGCAATGGAAAAGATATTGCTTCCCAGCCATGTCTGGTTACTGAAATGCTGGCCAAATTTACAGAAACTGAAGCTTTAGAAGGAAAAATCTACGTATGTGACCACTGTAACTGTAAGTAGCAACTGTATATTCTCTTTGCTTTTCTAAGATTAGCAAGGAGAAACAGAAATGAGAGGAAGCTGAAAGAAATTCCTAAAGTAGCAGTTATGGAAATAAACTTCGTTAGTTCACCAAAAGAAACTGGGATAGGTATTTCTACTTTATAATTGGCATTTGTGAGCTATGTGTACTGGGGGATGAAACACTCATTTCAATTAAAGGGAAGCATCCTCCTCCAGGGAAATTGTATATAAAATCATGACAGATCTGCTGTGTCTTTTTCGAGTCTTTATCTTCTCTATCAATGTGCATGTGGTATCTTAGTGTTTATGCTATATATTTGCAGGTATTCTCTCTAATTTCCATGTTTGAAAAAAATGATCTTAGGGTTTTAAACTTCGAAGGTAATATAAAAGAAATATTGGATGTTTTGGTATTGAAGAAATGTTACATCAATTGATGTTTTTTTAAGATTTTATTTATTTATTTGACAGAGAGAGACACAGCGAGAGAGGGCACACAAGCAGGGGGAATGGGAGAGGGAGAAGCAGGTCTCCCGCCGAGCAGGGAGCCTGATGTGGGGCTCTGTCCCAGGGCCCTGGAATCATGACCTGAGTCAAAGGCAGACGTTTAACGACTGAGCCACCCAGGCGCCCCAATTGATGGTTTTTTTAGAATGACTTATATTAACATTTTCTGAGTGCTAATAGGAACTCTGTGATAAGTAGCCTAGGATTTATAAGATTTGAAAAAAATAAACTTTATCAAACTCGAATGGTGAAATTTTTTCTTGGAAATAAATGTGAATGGTCCTAGATGCTTTCATCCACCAAATCTGGGAATAGAAAGATAACATGAACGAATGCAGAATATGGTTTTATAACATGTTTGTGTGTGTTTACTGGGTCTACCAAATAAAGTCCTAAAACAGCTGCTGTAATTTAATACATAAAGGCAGATGTTTAAAATTATAAGTCAGGTAGTTGATATCACTTATCTAGCTATACTGGCCATATATTCAGGGAGATGATCCAAGAGTAGGTCCAAAACATTCAGCAGCACCGGATACCTGCATCTCAGGGGCAGAGACCCGGAGGACAGGCTACCTGTGGCAAATGGAGACAGCTTATAAGGACAGCCTCGCGGGGTTCCACCTCCTCCACGAGAAGCAGCTGCTGCCGTGGCTGGAGTGAGAGCTGCTGTGTAAGTTGAAGGACAGCTCCTGGGTGTCCAGAGCAAACTGGTAGGAAGAAGCTTCAGGGCACAATTCATGGGTGGACCTCTAGAGAAGCAGAGGAGACAACAAAAGAATCCTAAGTGCCACTTGTTTAAGATCTGGTACTAAAATAGCAAAAGCAAGACACTGAGGGGGAGGCCTCAGGCTCAGAGCTGGAAGAGGACTGCTTTGTCAGGAAGTGGGGAAGGGTGTTCTGAGCTATTAAGGACCCGCCCCCCTGGGATTCCAATTAGCCTCAGTAAATGGACTGACTATGATACTTTTTTAAATTAAGAATTTGGGAAGAGTATATTAAAGTATGCTTAGGGAAAGTTTTAACTTTTCCTATTAATTGGCATAGTCAAATCCATTTTTATTTTTTATTTTTTAAAGATTTTATTTATTCATTTGACAGAGACAGCGAGAGAGGGAACACAAGCAGGGGGAGTGGGAGAGGGAGAAACAGGCTTCCCACTGAGCAGGGAGCCCGATGCGGGGCTCGATCCCAGGACCCTGGGACCATGACCTGAGCTGAAGGCAGACGCTTAATGACTGGGCCACCCACGCACCTACTAGATCATTCTTTTGCCTTATTTGTAGGAGTATATTAAATCAGGGACTTAATTGTTTACATGTCTGTCTGCCTGACTAGCTCTTAAATTGTGTGCTAATTGTGTGCTTATAAGTTTTTTGAGAGCAAGGCCATGTCTTTATCTCTAGCACAGTACAATACCTGTAACAGAGAAGATGTTTAATAATACATGTCTAAAGTATTTAAAGTTTACTCAGCATTTCCTTGTATCTTTAAATTTGATTCTCATTCTGTCTTTATATCACAGCAAAGCATAGAAGGTTTTCTTCAAAATCAGTTGTACTCACAGAAGCACAAAAACAGCTTATGATTTGCCACCTACCTCAGGTTCTCAGACTACATCTCAAACGATTCAGGTTAGTAGTAGTAGTATTCCAACTACACACTCCCTTTGTTTGCTTGTTTGTTTTAAAGATTTTTTATTTTTAAGTAATCTCTATACTCAGCGTGGGGCTTGAACTTACAACCCCAAGATCAAGAGTCTCACGCTCTACTGACTGAGCCAGCCAATCGCCCTTCCAAATACACACTTCTAAGTTAATCATTCCTTGTGCTTACCGTGCTTCAAAACTTAACACACATGATGAATCAGATTTTATTTTATTCTTTTTTAAGATTTTATTTATTTGACAGCACAAGCAGGCAGAGAGGCAGGCAGAGGGAGAGGGAGAGGCAGGCTCTCTGCTGAGCAGGGAGCCCGATGCAGGGCTCGATCCCAGGACCCTGGGATCATGACCTGAGCTGAAAGGCAGACGCTTAAGCGACTGAGCCACCCAGGTGCCCCTGAATCAGATTTTAATAGTATATACTTGGCTAGTAGATGACTTAACATCTATCTACTTCTGTGTTTTTTTTACATCTTTTTTTTTTTTAAAGATTTTTATTTATTGAGAGAGAGAGAGAATGGTAGAGAGAGAGCATGAGATGGAGGAAGGTCAGAGGGAGAAGCAGACTCCCTGCTGAGCAGGGAGCCTGATGCGGGACTCGATCCCGGGGCCCCAGGATCATGACCTGAGCCAAAGGCAGTCGCTTAACCAACTGAGCCACCCAGGCACCCTTCTGTGTTTTTTTTTTAAAGACAAAAAAAATTCTGTCATCTCTAGCCTTGACCAATAGACACCATTTTCAGTAACTAAGCTTCTGATTAGCTCCCCTTGTAGAATGCATTGCTGATGACTAGGGTCATCACATTTGGTCTGTGATATTATTCTTGTAAGCTTCTGCTTATAGAGTTTAATAAAAGTTTTAAATTTATAACTTAAGAGTATTTGACCCCATTGCCTCATTCTTAGAAAATATCTAAGGTATAGCAGTTCAATTCAGAGCAGTTAACAAAAAAAAAAACTCTAGTGTTCAGAAATATATTTAGTCAGGCGAATTAGTTTGCACAACTATTGGTTAAGCAAAGCTTATGGTTTCATACCTTGCAATAACCATGTTAACCTTAGAGCTTATTCTTAAGTCACCTTATGTGCTATGATTTGAAAACTATGGAGAAAAACCGTGTTTTTCATACATAATGGGTTTTGGCTTGTTTAAAGTTTTTTTTTGTGTGTGTGTGTTTAAGATTTTATTTATTTGAGAGAGAGAGAGCACACATGAGCAGGGGCAGAGGGAGAGGATGAAGCAGGCTCCCCCACTGAGCAGGGAGCCCGATGTGGGGCTTGATCCCAGAACCCTAGGGTCATGACCTGAGCCCAAGGCAGACACTTAACTGACTGAGCCACCCGGGGGCTCCTTAAAGTTTTTTTTTAAATAATTAAAGTAATACATGTTTTCTTTTTTAATGCAAACTTTACAGAAGGTAAAGTAAAAGTCCAAAGTAAAAGCACCTCTTTCCTCTCAGCCCCACTTCCCAGAGATATTCACTGTTAATTTTAGTCCGTTATTTCAGTTACTTACGGAAGCTGTTAAAGGTATAGTCAACAAATAACATGTGAGTGCTGTTAAATGCAAAATGTCCTAAATTCTTCGGGAAATATAAGGTAGGATCCTTTCCTCAAGATTATAGTCAGGCATGCACAGAAATAGTGGTGAAAGAGAAGTACTAAGGGGGCACCTGGCTGGCTTAGTCGGTAAAGCATGTGACTCATAATCTCAGGGTTGAGCGTTCAAGCCTCATGCTGGGTGTGGAGCCTAGTTAAAATTAAAAAAAAGAAAAAAGAAAGAAAAAAATACTGAGTATCACAAGTTATGTACAAATTGATTTATCAGAGATTTGGAAGAGGGAGTTAGCTGATGTCTAAATGTTCCCAAAGTCTCTTTATATCATTCAAGTCTCAGTTCATATGTCCATTCTTTAGAGCAGACTTCCCTGACCATCCTATTTAAAAGTAGCACCACGGAACTCTCCTTATCACATTACCCTATTTTTGCTTAAATGGCAAAACCCACTATCTGCAATTAGTAGTTTATTTACTTATTTCTTTCCTGCTGGCAGTGGAACAGAAGCTCAGTAATGACAGGGACCTTGTCTATTTCATTCCTGTATCTCAAGGCCCAGAACCGAGCTCTGTGCATAGTAGTTGCCCAAAAATATTTATTAATTGAATGAATGGGGCATATGCAGGAGGAGCACTTTAGCCTAAGGAAGCAACATGAACAAAGGTATACAGGAGGAACGGGGAAGGGTATATAACAAAAGATTTAGTGAAATCAGGTAAGACCTGTCATTGTGCATAAAATCAAGGGTAATAGAAACAAGAAGATTAGTTAGGAGGTTAATATTGTATTCCACGGCCAGGTAAGAAGGGCCAGGGAGCATGGAGAAGTAAGAGCATAAATGAGATTCTGTAAAGACAGAACTGAAAGGCCTTAAATTTGTACTGAATCGGTTACTATAAACTGTTGAAGACCTTCCTTTTCTAACTAATTGCTGCTTTAATCTGGTATTTGAAGCTCTCCTTTGAGTTAAACCTGTTTGACTCTATCCCTTTCCATCTTTTGCCCAAAACATTTTTGACCCTTCAGGACATATTTATTTCTGATTCAGAGATTTTGTTTATGCTGCCTTTACCACATTTGTCTTTCTCCGTTTTCTTTATTCAAAAAACACTATTATATTTGCCAATGTATAAAATATATAGGATATATAAAAGATAAAGGGGAAAATGGGATGGGGAGGGGCATACAGGAACCTCTGAAAAGCATAAGAAATGGAACATTTCTAGTACCTTAGACCTTCGCCTTGTGTGCCTCCTAGTCCAATGCTCTCCCTTCTCTTTGAAGCAAACCACTATGAACTTAGGGTATAGTGTTATCTTGTTATCATTTTACTGTATTTACATCAGTAGAAAAAAACTGGTACCCAATTTAATCAACAGGAATGAGTCCTTTTAGATGGCTTATAAGTGTTTATTTAGCATTAAATAATGTAAGGTTTGAATTTTATGGTAAACTAAAAGTATCTTTTGAGTGATAGGAATTATAGGAACTTTTGTTAAGCAAGTCCTATTTTTTTTAAATGCTTGGTCTTCCATGTTGACTAGTTACAGGTGCATTGAGTATAGGATCTCTTATACATTTCATGGGAGAAGTTTTGGGGTATGACTCCTGCTCCAACAGATAATTTAATTTGCAAGTCTCACCTTTAGCTCCATACAATTTTATATTGTACTAATAGTATTTTCACATATTTTTGCTTATCTTCCTTTGTCCTTCTCTACTTACTATTATTTATCATAACCTCATGTTTTAGTAATTTAATGCTATCCTCTTTTCTTTTTTTTAAGGTTTTTATTTTATTTATTTATTTGACAGAGAGAGATCCCAAGTAGGCAGACAGGCAGGCAGAGGGAGAGGGAGAAGCAGGCTCCCTGCTGAGCACAGAGCCCAATATGGGGCTTGCTCCCAGGACCCTGAGATCATGACTTGAGCCGAAGGTAGATGCTTAACCGACTGAGCCACCCAGGTGCCCCATTCTTTTACACTTTAAAGTAGGTTAATAAGAAGCTCTCACATATGATCACTGAATACACCATGTCACGAATCATATAAAATCACTGAACAAGTCAGGTCACCAGGATGAGGTCATGGAGACCAGGAAAGCAGCAGGGAGGTGAGAGGTTGGGAGTCAAGAGGCTGACTCTGAAGTTAGAAAAGTCACTTCACTTTTCCATGCATGCCTGCTGCCGTCACAACCTCCATTCTGCGCAGGCCCCAGCCTGGCCCCGCTCCCCGCTTCCTGCTCCCCAAGGCTCTGCACTGTCCCAGGCTGCTGCCTGCCCGCAGGGTCCACTGCTGTGTGCACGCTGTGGCAGCACCGGGAGCCAGGACCACTACAGCGCACACATACTGTCTCTGGAGTCTCGCCTCTGCTCCTGCACATGCTCCGTTGTCCCATTGACTGTGACGAAACCCACATTCAAAGATGACATTGTTAAGAATTTCAAGACACTGACCTCAGAGCATTAAACCAAGCATGGAGTCCTAAATGACTTTACAGGTTGCCTGCCAAGAAGTTGGCCATGGAAGGAACTCTCAGGGCTCTGGAAATGCATGTGACTTAGTGATTTCACTTGCTTGCTCTCTCCACATCATCTTCTAATATCATGAAAGCTCTGTTCTGATCAAAGAACACATATTTAATGTTTAGGTAGATGAGGATAAACCTACAAGACTGAGAATAAACAGTTAAAAATGGGAAAAGTCAGGGGCGCCTGGATGGCCCAGTGGGTTAAGCCACCCACTCTTTATTTTTTATTTTTTTTATGTTATGTTAATCACCATACATTACATCATTAGTTTTTGATGTAGTGTTCCTTGATTCATTGTTTGCATATAGCACCCAGTGCTCCATTCAGTACGTGCTCTCTTTAATACCCATCACCAGGCTAACCCATCCCCCCCACCTCCCCTCTAAAACCCTAAGTTTGTTTCTCAGAGTCCATAGTCTCTCATTGTTCATCTCCCCCTCCAATTCCCCCCTCCATTTTTCCCTTCCTACTATCTTCTCTCTTTTTTTTTTTAACATATAATGTATTATTTGTTTCAGAGGTACAGGTCTGTGATTCATCAGTCTTATACAATTTACAGCACTCACCATAGCACATACCTTCCCCAGTGTCTATCACCCAGCCACCCCATCCCTCCCACCCCCCACCACTCCAGCAACCCTCAGTTTGTTTCCTGAGATTAAGAATTCCTCATATCAGTGAGATCATATGATACATGTCTTTCTCTGATCGACTTATTTTGCTTAGCATAATACCCTCCAGTTCTATCCATGTCATGGCAAATGACAAGATTTCATTTTTTGATGGCTGCATACTATTCCATTGTATATATATACACCGCATCTTCTTTATCCATTCATCTGTCGATGGACATCTTGACTCTTTCCACAGTTTGGCTATTGTGGACATTGCTGCTGTAAACATTGGGAGTGCACATACCCCTTCAGATCACTACATTTGTAACTTTGGGGTAAATACCCAGTAGTGGAATTGCTGGGTCATATGGAGCTCTATTTTCAGCTTTTTGAGGAACTTCCATACTGTTTTCCAGAGTGGCTGCACCAG